GCTGAGGTGGAGGTTGTGGTGAGCTGAGATTACACCACTGCAGTCCATCCTGGGCAACAAGAGTGAAACTCTGTATCAAAAAATAATCACCATCATCACCATCACGCGGGTCTTAGTTCCTGCTCCCCTTCTAACTGCCGGACCTTGGACAAGCTGCTTAACCCCGGGCCCTCAGTCCCCCATCCCCCTGGACACCTCCCAGCATAATCTCACTTCCCCCGCCACTCTTTATTTTTATTTTTTATTTTTTGAGATGGGGTCTCACTATGTTGTCCAGGCTGATCTGACTCTCCTGCGCTCAAGTGATCCTCCCACCTCAGCCTCCCAAAGTGCTGAGATTACAGGCATGAGCCACCCTGCCCAGCCCCCAGCACTCTCTAGAGGCCAGGGCTCTGAGATTCAGAGAGGTTAAGTGATTTGCCCCAAACCACCAGCAATCTGATGGTCAAGAATTCTGGGAAGAAAAATCCCAAAGATTGCACACTGTGGACCAGCCCCACAGGACGGTGGGGGAAGCGGTGGTACAGAGAGACCAGGAGCAGGTCCAGGCTTGCAGGTTGGGGTGCCCTGCCCTCGGCAGGGGCACAGCTGCCCTCCTGGTCCCTTGGGCACAGGCCTCCTCTTGTTCCTGTAAATAATTAATTAGCCCCTGCCTGCTTGTTTGTTTAGCATGAGGAATGCTCCCCCACTGAGATGCATTTATTGCTGAATAAATTTAAATATCTAATCTTCCCTTCATGAATATTACAGCACCCTAAATAGCGGCCAACTCATCCTAAGCGCCTTGGCGGATGGCCTCACTGGAGCCTGGCTGCCTTCCGCCTTTGCTGGCTCTGAGGATGGCCTGGCTCCAGCCCTGCCAGCCCACTCCTGGTGCCCTCTTCTGCCCCAGGAATGCCCAGGGCCACAATCACTTGGCCCAGCCTTCCTTCCTTCCTCAGCATCCTTCCATGGGAGGCGTGGAGAGGCTGGGGGCTGAGTGCGGGACCACGGAGGCCGGCAGGCCGGGGTTTACCCCTGCGAAGCAGGGAGGCTCCTGAGAAGGGGCGGAGGGCCAGGGGCTACTCAGAGGCCAGGGCCGGGGCAGAGAGAGGCTCCTCAGGGCTCAGGTGAGGGCAGATAGGGTCCAGGTGACATCCGAGGAGTGGCTTGAGGAAGGGGACAGGGAAGGGCCCGCTGAATGGAGGAGCCATCAGCTGTAGGGGCAGCCACACTGTCCAGAAGGACAGTGGTCTCAGAACACTGAGCAGCAAGAGGCCCCCGGGCAGCCCCTCTACCAGGAGGGGACTTACCAGTGTGGGAGACACCGCCTTCCCATGAGCATGACGGGCCATTTGAGCCAGTCGGCCAGAGTGCTTCAGGGTGAGGCCCTCTTAGGGTCCCAGAGGAAGCAGAGCCACCTACGTTGGGAGCCCAGCCTTCCAGCTGCTGGGCACGTTTCCCTCTCTGTGCCTCAGTTTCTTCTTCTATAAGCAGGAAAAAAATAAGGCAGTGGATATAAATCACTGCCCAGGCACTTACCCAACAAGAGGGCTGACAAAGGGCACGGGGGGTGGGGGTGTCATACCAGCTGCTTAGAAGGCTGGGCCGGGGCAACATAGCAAGAGCCTGTGTCAAAAAAGACAGGCTCAGCCGGGCGCCGTGACTCACGCCTGTCATCCCAGCACTTTGGGAGGCCGAGGCAGGCGGATCACAAGGTCAAGAGATCAAGACCATCCTGGCCAACATGGTGAAACCCCATCTCTACTAAAAATACAAAAATTAGCTAGGCATGGTGATGGGCGCCTGTAGTCCCAGCTACTTGAGAGGCTGAGGCAGGAGAATTGCTTGAACTCAGGAGGCGGAGGTTGCAGTGAGCCAAGATCACACCACTGCACTCCAGCCTGGTGACGGAGCAAGACTCTGTCTCCAAAAACAAAACAAAACAGGTTCATGCCTATAATCCCAGCACTTTGGGAGGCCAAGGCAGGTGGATCATTGGAGGTCAGGAGTTCGAGACTAGCCTGACCAACATGGTGAAACCCTGTCTCTACCAAAAATACAAAAAATTAGCCAGGTGTGGTGGTGTGCACCTGTGATCCTAGCTCCTTGGGAGGCTGAGGCACAAGAATCACTTGAACCCGGGAGGCAGAGGTTACAGCGAGCCAAGATCACACCCCTGCACTCCAGCCTGGGCGTCAGAGACAGAGGGCTGACGTTCAGGTGCCGGATGAGGGAAGCTTAAAGGTAGAGGAGCGGGGAAGAGACTGCAGGGGGAGGGAGGGGCCTCAGGGGCCATCTTCTAGGCAGGTGGAGGAAGGCTTCACCTTTGACCTGGTGGAGAAACCTCTCAGGACGGCCCCACCACCCGTCGGCTCTGTCTCCCCAGGAAAGACCCCAGGTCTTCTGCTGACTTGGGATGGAGGATGAGCTGGAGGCTGGAGGTTTGTTTTGGTGGCTGAGGGGCCTGGAGAGGAGACTGAGGGTGGCTCAGCTCCCGGGAACTGGAAAGATCCCACCTTCCACCAGGGAGCCCCAGCAACCAGGGCTGCTGGTCTTTTCCAGCTGCCTTGAGGTGCGGTGGGAACAGGAAAGAGGGAAGGAGGGCATCTCCGCTGGATGCGACATCAGGAAGCTTGAGTCTCTAGGACCCAGTAAGAGTCAGGACAGGCCTGGAGGGCAGAGCTAAGGGGGTTCTGGGAGTGTGTGCGGGAGGGGCCCTGTGGGCCCTTGGCTAAGAACAGCAGGGTGGGGGTTCCCCTCTGCACTTGCTGGGGAGGGGCACGCAGGCAGGAGGGCCAGGCTGCGCTCTCGCTTGTTGGGATGAGGGTGGGCATCCATGGGCCGATAATGACCTGTCTGTCATCTCTGCTCTAGGGGAGCCCCTCCCTGGAGCACGGGCGGGCGCTGTTCTGGAATTGCTGGCAGTGAGGGAGGGGGCATCCGGCCTGAGCCTCTCCAGCGACGATTCAAACTCCCTCCACCTCCCTTGTGCCCCCACGTCAGCCCCCAAGGCCTGGCTGCAGGCCCGTTGTCCACTTCCATAGGAAACATTAAATCCCTGAATACTGAGCTCCACTTCCGCAGGGCCCCCACAGCTGGCCAAGGTCGCCTGCAGGGCGGTTAGAACCCAGTGACAGCGAGCAGCCGGGTGCCAGGTGGTTGAGGCCATCAGGGCAGGGCTGGGAGGCTCCTAGGAGAACCCGCTCAGACAGGCCCCTGTGCTCAACCCCACACTCCATGAACACCCTGCACACAGCCTCTCCCGTCACGCTGGTGTACACACACCCGAGCATGCCCACGCTGTCACACTGTCGTTAGGATACACTCACATCACCTCCACTCGTGCCAAGTACTCCCTTAAGCACGTTCCAAAGTTAACTCAATCCTTCCAGCAGCCAGCCCAGTGAGCTCTGAGGCGGGTGCTACTATCCCATCTTCCAGATGGAGCAACTGAGGCCCAGAGAGGTTAAATGATATGTGCGGGGTCTCACATCTGTGGCTGGCAGAGCCAGGATTTGAACTCGGACTGCCCAGCTCCACAGCCGGCCACGGCTCCCCGTTTAAACTCTCACTGCCTGTCTCCAGCCTGGACGGCCCGCTCCTGGCCCAGCCTTCTTGCTCCATCTCAGCCTCCCCGTGGGCTGCAGCTGCCTTTCTCGCTGCATAGAAGAGGAGCGGGGGTCGGGATCCAGGCCTGAGCCGTTCTCAGGGTTCCCCTAACCTCTCTACCCACCCATCCCTGGGACGCTGTGGGAAATTGCCCGGTGCCAGCTCTAAGTAAAGTTGCAAAATGAGGCTTAATTGTGCCCCTGGGGCACAAGAGAAAACAGCAAAAGAAGGGGGTGTGAGCCAGCTGACATCTCTGGAGCTGTGCCGAGGCTGAAATGAGGAAGGAGAAGGCCCTTGGTTTGTCCATCCGTAAAATGGGGAATGATGGGCTCTCTTGGTGCCCGCCCTTGAGCACCACTAGGGAGCTGGTGCCTGAGGAGCTCCTGGAACGATTCTAGGGTGCGATTAGAGCTGCCGCAGATGGGCCGGGTCCTCCTGGCCAGCACGGGGTCTCTTCCTCTGTGGGAGGGTCGCTGTCCCGATATTCCAGATGAGACAGTGGACGCCAGATAAGGTAAAAGGCAGGATCTCACAGCCGATGAGGGGCAAGCCCAGGCTGGACCCAGGCCTACCGGAGGCGGTGCCTCACCTACGCGGTGCCCTGGCGAGGTTGGGCTGCTGGAGCGTTTCCTCCAAGCCTCCCGCTGCGCCCGGGTTGTTTATCTGGGCCCGGATCCCCAGGGTCGCTCGTGAAGCCCTGGAGCCGCCCTTGGATAAACAAGCCCAGGAGGGGCAGCAATTAAGCCGGATGCGCTAACGAGGCGGCTCATTAATCAAAAGGGGTTTGCGCGCCGGGAGACCCGGGCCCGGCTGCCGGGCTCCCCCGCGCGGCTGGAAGACCCAGGCCCCAGCTCCGGATCTGATCACCTTGTAACAAGGTGGCCTCTCTTTCCTCCTCCGTGAAATGGGTCCTAGGGTCTAACGCCGCCCGGTGGGGTGCTGCCTGGGGAGGTGGTCCTTGGGATCCCACCAACGCCGAGGCCCGGGAGGAGGCAGCGACTGGTCGCTAGACAGGGCTAGAGAGGGGCGTCGGGGAGGAGAGTGACGCTTCCCCGTCACCCCGGCTTCGGCGACAGTTCCTGCCGCGGCGGCCCCCGCCTCCCGGAGCCGCCCAGCCTGGGCCCTGGCGGCGCGGCCTGGAAGGAGCAGGGTGGGCCGGGCGCGCCCCCTGCTGGCCTCCCTGCGCCACTTCCCGCCATGCCCAGGGCCGCCCCGCCGTGCGCCTCGGTTCCCCCTGATGGGAAACACTCGGGGTGGGGATAGGGGCAGCGGCCGAGGCCGCGGCGTTGGGGCGCGGGGCCGCGTGGGTCCTCGCACCGCCGAGGGGCTTCTCCGGACTGCGGGTGCTCAGCCCGGGGTCGCAGCCTTCTCTGCCAGGCCGGCTCAGTCCCCACCCGCCCTGTCCGCAGTGGACGGTTGCATTCACCGGGCCGCCGGCGCCCTGCTCACCGACGAGTGCCGGACCCTGCAGAGCTGCGAGACCGGCAAGGCCAAGATCACCGGCGGCTATCGGCTGCCCGCCAAATGTGAGTCCCCGAAGCGCTCCCAGCCGTGGGGCGCAGACAGGGCGCCCGTGTGTCACTGGGGCATCAGGGTTGCGGCCCCCACAGGAGTGCTAGGGACCTCCTGAGAGGGCCCTTTTTAACCTTAAGGCCCAAGACCCGGCCCCTCCAACCACCCAGAAAGCAGATGGGGGAGACAGTGCGTGGAGGCTGGAGAGGGAGCTGAAGGGCAACGCCTTTGCGCCCACACTCGCGCCCGGGTCTCAGGCCCATGCGGATATGGGGAGGGGGCGCGGAACGCCGTGAGTGTACCGATTCAGGCTCGAGGGGGTCCCCGGGGGGGCCTTCGCCGAGGGGGAGAAAGGGGTTTCCTGCCCGCTTCTGCCCGGGCCGGCAGGGGGAAGCGAGGGAGCTGAGGACGGCGTAGGTCCCGGCCGGTCTGACCCGGTCACCCCCCGCAGACGTCATCCACACGGTGGGACCCATGGCCTACGGAGAGCCCAGCGCCAGCCAGGCTGCCGAGCTCCGCAGCTGCTACCTGAGCAGCCTGGACCTGCTGCTGGAAAACCGGCTCCGCTCGGTGGTGAGGGGCGGTCCGCGGGGGAGGGCGGGAGACGGGGCGCAGTGACAATGTCCCAAACCCCTCTCACCCCTCCCCGCCCAGGCGTTCCCCTGCATCTCCACCGGCGTGTTTGGTGAGTGGGTTTGGACGAAGCGCAAGCGTCAGGAGTGGGCGGTGGGGGACCCAGACGCCGAGAGCAGCTGGGGCGGACGGGGGGTGGGCGGGGCCTCCTGCTGGCGGGGGCGGGGCCAGAGGCCAGGACTCACTCCTGCCCCACCCGCCGCAGGCTACCCCAGTGAGGCGGCGGCCGAGGTCGTGCTGGCCACGCTGCGCGAGTGGCTGGAGCAACACAAGGACAAGGTGGGGCCTGGGCCCGGGCGAGGGTGGGTTCCACATCCTCACCAGTCTGACCAGACCCAGTCATTGCCCAAGGTGTGAGGGTGCCCAGGGAGTCAGGGTGCAGAGCAGAGGGCCAGGCCCACCCCCTCCATCCCGGTTTCTCCTGCGCGAGGGCACCTGGTGGTGGCGAGATGGGATGACACAGCCCTGAGCTTCCGTGAAGGGTGCGAGGCCAGGCAGGTGAAAGCCTGCACCCGGGTGGGCAGTGACAGGATCCCGGGGCCAGACATGGTGGCCTGGCCCAGGCTGACCAGCCCCTGGCGCAGGTGGACCGGCTGATCATCTGCGTGTTCCACGAGAAGGACGAGAACATCTACCTGAGCCGGCTCCCCCACTATTTCCCTGTGGGTACGTACCCCGCACCGCCAGCCCCGACCCCGGTCCACCCTGGGGGCGGGCTCTCATTGTCCTCTGCCTTCCAGCCTGAGGCTCCCGCAGCCCACCCTGACCGGGACTGGTAAGCGGGGCCTGGCCCCATGCGGTGGCCCAGGCCCTCGACTAACCCGCCCGCTAACGCCCGCTCACCCCCAAGCAGGTCGGGAAACCATGGGCAGCCTGGGAGGTTGGGGACACCCACAGACACCTCTGACTCTGCTCTGCCCTCAGACCCGCCTTGCGGACCTCGCTCCCAGCTCTGAAAGTTCGCCAAAGCCTGCAGCCTGACCACCCCTTCTTTCCCTCCGCGCCCGCCCGGAGGAGCCTAATAAAGATCACCCTGTGGCAGCTCCTGCTGTCTGAGCTCTGACTGTGGGGAGAGAGGCGGCCCAGGTGTTGGATGGAGTCCCTGGCCAGATGCTTTTGCTGATACGGGCTGGCAAGAGCTCTCAGTGAGCCAGGCGGACGGCGGCACGGGCGGAAGGCGGAGGCGGCAGCAGCAGTTCACATTTATTGAGGGCCTGCCCCCAAGGAGCTCACAGCCTGGGGGCTGAACCCCTGAATGTGCAGGGGGCAGGGAAGAAAACAAGTGAAGGCAAAAAGGCAGGCAATGCAGAGACACCACGGCCCAAGCAGAGGGGGTACAAGGCAGGCACAGGCAGGGGGCCTGGGGGCAACGGGGAGGTGGAGAACCGGCAGCCCCGCCAAGACCTGAGGACTGTGGACCCCGCACAGGTTAGAAGGCTGCCCTCCCCCACCAGGCTGGCACTGCCAGGGGCATGGGCACCTGTGGGAGGCCCAGATCCTCCACCTGCCCTGAGCCGGGCCCAGCCTCACAAAGGCCCCTCCACCCTGGACTCCCAACCATCCAGACCCGTGATGGAGGGCAGGAAGCTGGGGTCTGGGGCCCGGGCTGGGGACAGCAGGGTGGAGGTGGGGCCTGTGAGGGAACAGGTCAAGTGTGGGTGGCCCTGGGACCCTGGGCAAGTCCCCAAGGAACTTCCACAATCCCATATAAGCCCCTGAGCCAGCTAAGAAGGAAAGTGGGGCCTCAGGGAAGGAAGCAGAACCCAAGGAAGTAGGAGGGGCCTCCAACAGGCCTGGCCCCTCAAACCTGCTCCTGCTGGGGAAGCTCAGGGGTGGATGGGTGAAAAGCAGGGAGACCCACCTGGGGGCGTGGAGCAGCAGACAGAGCAGGCAGGCGGGCAGCAGAGCAGGGACACGCACACACGGCTCACCACCAGCACCCCCTTTAATAAAACATGGGGGGGGGTCGTGTGACAGAAAGAAGGGGGTGAAATAGGACCATTTACAACCACGCACACACAAAAAAAACCTCTGTACATGTCTAGCGCCTGGCAGAGGGGGCAGGCAGGGCAGCAGCGGGCCAGGAGCAGCCCTATTTGTAGAGGATATCGTAGTGTCCGGGCCGGTAGAGAAGGTAGACCTTGGGCTCGGAGCCCTCCGGGAAGATGTGCGGGTTGGTGGTGCCGCCCTCGCCGCGGTCCATGTACTCCACCTGGATGGACACACTGAGCGCCTGGGCCAGCGCGATGATGTGGATGTGGTCGCTCTCCTTGCACATGGGCTCCACCTCCTGTGGCACAGGGGCGGGTCAGGCCCCGGAGACCGTACCCGCCCCAGGCCCTGCAGACCCACTGCACTCCCCAGCCTGGTGCGGGGCCGGGCTGAGAGAAAAGGGGAGGGGACGGCACCTGCTGGCAGAACTCCTTGACAGTCCTCCCACCCTCGATGAAGTGCTCGAAGAACTTGCTCTCGCGCTGCAGGTAGCCCGAGGTGAGCAGCCGCAGGTAGACCACAAGGTAGTCGGACGTGCTCTGGTCATTGAAGGAGGCCAGCAGGTCCGCGACGGAGGTCTGCTTCTCCACCTGCTCGATCAGGTCCATGAACTGCAGCCACGGAGGGAGAAAGGGCAAGATGGTGGGGGAGATGAGTGGTCCCCATCACAGCCAGGTGAACCCCTCCACGCTGGCCCAGCCTGAGACAGGCCCCAGGGCTCACCGTGTTGTGGAAATCCTCAATTGTGAACTCGGTGAAGCCCTGGGACACCAGGTCCTCCTTGCTCTTGGCAGACACAGCCTTGAACCTGGGGGTGGGAGGGAAAGGCGGGCCCAGCATGGGCTCCTTGACCAGCCCAGATGCCAGGGCCCAGCCAGCCACTGCCCCGCCTGGCAAGGCCAGAGCCCAGCCCATCGCCTGGCCCCAGGTGGAGCTGCACCTCCTACCCTCCCACTGCCTCAGTACCCAGTGCCCACCCTTCTCACCGCTGCAATTCCTTGCTGTCATCCAGCAGCGCCTCCAAGTGCGAGAATCCGAAGGCCCGATAGAAACAGTTGCCATCAGGCCTGGTCTTCCGGATGTATGAGTACTTTTTGTGGAGGTCCTACAGAGACAGCCCCACCCCACCGGGTTAACAGCAGGCCAGGAAATGTCCCCAGCAAAGGTCGCACTACAGAAGGTGGCAACGGGACTCGAAGTAGCCACCTGCCACCCCAGGCCCCTAAAGCAGGCTGCCGAATGCAGTCATGGGAGTGACTTAGTGGCCCACTGCCCAGAGTCCCCCCCAAAAAGCTGCAGGAAGCTGGGCACTTAAGGACAAACTAGTCACATGGGTCACCAAAGTGCTGCGGGGCCTACAGGACTGTACCAAAAACGGAGTCAATCTGTCCTTGTCCAATCAGCCTTCTCCAGCCTTTCAGCCCACAGAACCTCAGGGCAAGCAAGTCAGGGCGGGGCGGAGTGCTGGGCTCCACACCTCGGCCAGGCAGCTGGGCCCTCTGCCCAACTGAGCTTAGCCCAGCCCAGCCCCTACCAGACCAACACTTCCCTCACCTCCCGGCCTTGCCTGCAGCCCTCCTCTACTTATTTTTATTTATTTATTTTTTTTGAGACGGAGTTTCGCTCTTGTTATCCAGGCCGGAGTGCAGTGGCGCGATCTCGGCTCACCGCAACCTCCGCCTCCTGGGCTCAGGCAATTCTCCTGCCTCAGCCTCCTGAGTAGCTGATTACAGGCACGCGCCACCACGCCCGGCTAGTTTTTTCTGTATTTTTAGTAGAGACGGGGTTTCACCATGTTGACCAGGATGGTCTCGATCTCTCGACCTCGTGATCCACCCGCCTCGGCCTCCCAAAGTGCTGGGATTACAGGCTTGAGCCACCGCGCCCGGCCTTTTTTTTTTTTTTTTTTTTTTTAAGACGGAGTCTTGCTCTATTGCCCAGGCTGGAGTGCAGTGGTGCAGTCTCGGCTAACTGCAGTCTGCCTCCCCGGTTCAAACGATTCTTCTGCCTCAGCCTTCCAAGTAGCTGGGATTACAGGCATGTGCATCACCATGCCTGGCTAATTTTATATTTTTAGTAGAGACAGGGTTTCACTATGTGGGTCAGGCTGGTCTCAAACTCCTGACCTCAGGTGATCCACCCACCTCAGCCTCTCAAAGTGCTGGGATCGCGCGTGAGCCACCGCACCGGTCCGCCCTCCTCACTTCTAAACCCTACCTGCCCACTCACAGGTGCCGTCTCCATGCAGCCTTTTCCAGTTTCCTCCCGAAATGAAAGGGAGCATCTCCTGTCTCCTGTGCTTCCCACACTGGTAGGCTGGTAGTGCTGCCTGGCAAGCACACTTCACTCCCCTGGCCTGAGCACCCTCGCCTCTCCCCTACCCATCTTGCTCCCACCCCCAGCTGATGACCTTGTCTGTTTTCTCAGCACGCCTGCCCTTGGCCTCCTCTCACAATCCTCAGAGGATCTGTTCCAGCTGCCACCTAAGCTGCCTCTCCACTCCACACTAGCCCAACCCCACCTGGCTGGGCGCCATGGCTCACGCCTGTAATCCCAAAACTTTAGGAGGCAGGATGGGAGGACTGCTTAAGCCCAGGAGTTCGAGACCAGCCTGGGCAACACAGTGAGACCCCCCCATCTCTCTAAAAAAAAACAACTGGCCAGGCACAGTGGCTCACACCTGTAATCCCAGCACATTAGGAGGCCAAGGCAGATGGATCACCTGAAGTCAAGAGTTCAAGACCAGCTAGGACAACATAGAGAAACTCCATCTCAATGAAAAATGCAAAATTAACTGGGCATGGCAGCACATGCCTGTAATCCCAGCTACTCAGGAAGCTGAGGCAGGAGAATCGCTTGAACTCAGGAAGCAGAGGTTGCACTGAGCCGAGACTGCCCCATCGCACTCCAGCCTGGGCAACAGAGCAAAACCTCGTCTCAGAAAAACAAATAAACATAAGTTAGCTGCACATTGTGGTGCATCCCTGTGGTCCCAGCTACTCAAGAGGCCAAAGTCGGTGGACTGTGTGGGCCCAGGAGGTCAAGGCTGCAGTGAACCGTGATGGCACCACTGCCCTCTAGCCTGGGGAACAGAGTGAGCAAGACCCTGTCTCCAAAAATAAAAAACAAAGATGTCATCCTAGTAAGTACCCCAGTCATCAGTTTTTCCTTCCCTACTGATACACTGACCTACTTCTTTCAAAGGAATCCTGCATTTTCCCTTTCTGCCTGGCTACCCTCAATTTCTCTTTTCCTTTTTTTTTTGAGAGAGTCTCACTCTGTCACCCAGCTTGGAGTGCAATGGCATAGACTTGGCTCACTACAACCTCCACCTCCTGGGTTCAAGTGATTCTCCCGCCTCAGCCTCCTGAGTAGCTGGGACTACAGGTGTGCGCCACCACACCCAGCTAATTTTTGTATTTTTTTGTAAATTTTTGTAAATTTTTTGTAAATTTTTGTATTTCTAATGACTATGTTGGCCAGGCTGGTCTGGAACTCCTGACCTTGTGATCCACCCACTTGGGCCTCCCAAAAGTGCTGGGATTACAGGCGTGAGCCACCGCACCTGGCTGATCTCTCTGCTTGCTTTACAGTGGAACTTCTCATGAAGCCATCCGTGCAGTCTCCACCTCTTTTCTCCCTTGGGAGGCTTTTGCTTTAGCCAATGTCTGCTGAACGCCCTCAGTCAGAGGGGCAAACCCAGCCCCCAACGCCCCTGGCCACTTAGCAGCACTGAGGCCAATGGCCACAGCCCCACCTGGATGCCTCCTGCCCTGGACTGGTGCCCCCACCCTCTCCTTATCTTCCTCCTGCCTCTGAGGCCACTCCTCATCTCTCTTAAGCTCCAAGGGTCAAGGATGCCACCAAACCATACAGCATCCTTCAAGACATGGTGTGTCACCTGCAAGAAAACAGTCACTGCACACTCAGCCACTGTGCCTGCCATAAGACCACAGGCACGAGCACTGTCTCCCGTGTGCCTGCACCGCCCTGCTCAGGCCTGGGACAACTTCTATTTTTTTTTTCTTTTCTGAGACAGGCTCTCCTCTGT